TTAATATGATGTGTGATATGTCTGCCAACAGACTCCATGTTTCAAGTCCAAGTTCATCACTGCGGAGCTGGCTCATCTGTTCAGTCAGTCAGACAGCGAGGAGGAGTTTGAAGGCTTCAGCGAGGATGAGGAAGAAGACGGAGGATGTTTTAACAAACCGTTAAAGAAAAGGGTATGAACTATCTGTCGCTTTCTGGCTGTATTATTTAATGAATATTATACAGTAAAAGCACCAAACTGAATGCCCTTTTCTCTGATTTTCTCCAGATGGTGGATTCCGAGGAGGACAGCGACGTAGACACGGGCTTCTATTCTGATGGCGAGGAGGACCCCCCAAAGAGGAAGAGTCTTCTAGTAGCCCTGAGGTGTGTATCGGTCTGTCAGTTAGTAAATAAACAAAAAGTTTAGGTGCTGTACCATCTTTGTAACGACGTGTGACGATGTGCAACGACCTCTGCATAAACTTCACAGAATAAACTCGCCAAATGTCAAGAAATGAAAAGAAACAAATTCATGTTTCTCTCTTGTACCAAACTAAGACCTTTGTTAAGCAATCTTACAACACGCTTCATTCAGACTCGACAAATAAAAGAAAACTTACCAAACCGTCTTTATAAGTCTTTACACTGTTCCAACAATCACCATCTCTGCTGTCTAACCATCTAATGGAGTTCGATGTGAAAATACTCTGGCTCTACGCGCTGTCGCTGCCTCTCTGCTCCCCCCTCGCTCCTCTACCCGCTTCATTCCTCTTCTCTCCTGGCTTCAATGTTCTCCTCTGCTGTGTCCTTATCTTCTTGTCACCTTGTAACTGTATTTCCTGTTGTCAAACTAGAAGTAAAGTCTTAATTCACTGCAGTTCGATGTGAAAATACACTGGCTCTACAGCTGTTTCTACTTCGCAGCTGAACGTCGAATGAGCTGTTCCATTCTAATGGTTATATGGGACTAATGTTTGTGAGTTTGGCATAATTCAGCTCCTAATTCCTGTGACCCAGCTATACAAGGGAGCTTTGTGTTGATTCTCCGGTGATTGAACAAAATTTTTTTTTTGTGCTATTGCTCCTCAGGTTTCCAGTCAAAAGACTTTCGGCCCCCAAGCAGGAACCACAAGAGAAAAATGTCAAAAATCCAGTCAAAGAAACTCGCTCTTCACAGAGAGGCAGAGGAAGGCAGAGGATGAAGCAGCAACAGCAGGATGAAGAAAAAGAGGAGGAGGAGGAGGAAGACAACAAAGAGGAGGTCCAGTCTCAGAGCCTAAGGAAACGAGACAAGAACATCAAGGAAAACAAGGCCATGGTAATGAACCCTTACAGCCGGTCGGTTTTCTCAATATTCTGACACTGTGTGATCTGTCTTTCTGTGTCGGATGTCCTTTGAGTCTGGTCCTCTCCGTTGTCTTTCAGCTGGCTAAGCTGTTTGCTGATCTGAGCACCATGGCTGACTTGACTCTGCCCACCACCCCTCAAGTAAGTACATGCACCAGCAACAGTTTTTTTAAAGCACGTAACAGAAACATGCACTCAGCTTTCAGCGATTATTGATCACCGGTAACATTATGTTACATTCATTTAATCACCTGTCACATTACCTTACATTCATTGGCTGTGGATGTGGGTTAGATAACCTTTTTGAGTAATAATGAAGCACGGTGCAAACTTCACATGTGCAAACACCGTCTTTATTTTATTTCTACAGAAGAAGAGGCGAGCACCAGAGAAAGCAACTCCACGGAAACGCAAGTTTGAACCAGAGATGGGGTCAGAAAGGAGAAACCCATCCCGTAAGGCTCGCCCTCCCGAGAACTTTGCGGTGGAGGAAAAGAGCGAGCCACTCACCCACAGAAGCCCCAGGACTGTAGACCTAAAGAGACTGGTGGAGGTACAATGTGCAACACACACTTCACACTGTGTACTGACTTCTACAGTGTACACACAAGCCTATACAGCTCCCACGTGTGTTGGTAATGCTATAAAGTTAATAGGTTATTATTTAGAATTTCCTCATTATCTGTCAATTGTAATGTTAATACAGTATTCACTGTAGCAGGCTTTGATTGTATATTGATAAACTGACAATCAGATACGTTTTGTGTGAATTTTTTTCTTTCAAACAAATTAGCCTGACATTACATCTGAAGTGAAGTAATTTATGTACTTAAAACACACAATTACAGTCATTAGTTGGTTGTCTAGTTAACTTAAATCTATGATTTTGTGTGTAAAACTTTGTATTAAAACCTTATTGGCTTCATAGCAATGGCCTCTTTGCGGGCTTCCAGTTTTACCTGCAATCTGACGGTTGTGATTGGGCAGGTGGACGAGGACCATATCAGTGAGGGACGAAAGAGGAAGAGACACAGTTCCAAGAGGAGCCAGTATGTTGTGAGGTCGGTCGACGAGATCACCAAAGACGACCTGGACAACATAGCATACCGCAGCAAGGACAAGATCTGGGACAAGGAGAATGTGAGTCACATCAGGCCTATTTAGTGCTGTCGGGACTGTACTATACTGTCTGGGTTTTCACCATGTGTCTGTGTGTGTCTGTGTCTGTGTGTGTGCGTGTGTTTTTTCTTACAGGGCAGCTCGTGTCACCAGTGCAGACAGAAGACTCTGGACACCAAGACAGTGTGTCGCAGTGGTTTCTGTGTGGGAGCCAAAGGTCAGTTCTGTGGGCCGTGCCTGAAGAACCGCTATGGAGAAGATGTACGCATTGTGCTGCTCGACCCGGTCAGTGCTAATGAACACATGCTAAACATTTCATTTTCCATTCCTCTCATGTTGGATTTGCTTAACTTGAGGTTAATGTGGGGAGTCTGAAAGACACCAGAAAAGAAAAACACAGTTCTTCAAACCTGAAATGGCTGAATTTTTATGTCATAATGCAAACACATTAAAAACCATCTGCTTATAAATTATACTCTTCATTTGTTATTGGATCTTGTCACTTTATATTAAAACTATTGCAAAATTCCACTGATGGGACAATTACTGACATGCTAAAGAGCTTAAATACAGTTAAGTTTTATTTTTAATTTTTTAATTCCACTTTGTTACTATCTTTGAGTGTCTAGTGTTTCAAATATATCTCCTCTAAATGTATGTGTATTCACCTTCATTTTACAAAGGGAAATAATATTGTATAATGTTTGTAGGTTGTTTTTGTATGGCTGACTTCTACAATAATACAATTTTTTCACTTTTCAAGAGAGAATCTGAATTTTTATATTTTCTTTTTAAACACTCATCTGCATCTGGTAGGAAAAAAACGTGGGATTTGGTTTAAATTTCCAGCAACAGCTGTAACACGTTTGTTGGCTCTGTTTCAAATAAAAGCTGGACTGAGTCAAGAGAACAGTGGGTAACAACATAGCTCAATGCATAAAGCAAAGAGCACCACCTACAGGAGTTCTAGCAGGTATGAAGAGACAGAGTTGCAATTGCACTATAGACACTGAGTAGCATGTTGCAGTGTATTTGAACACCGCTGACAGCTTTTGTGCAGAGGTTAATGTTTCCCAGTGGATTTTTATTAAAAGCGAGGGTCTCTTTTTGAACTAAGTGTTCAGTTAACAAGGGAAAACTTAACACAAGGAGAGAGTAGACAAATACACTCTTTTGTTGTTTTTACAGTCGGGGGTGCTGTGCTAACAGAAGCTAACACATACATTACAGTACAAATTAATTGTACCTTGTGCTTATCATAGTCTCAGTAGACATGGTTTTTAGGCACAGATGTAACTGAGTGTTTTGTACAAATCTTCAGCACTATTCAGACTCTAGTTTACGTGGAGTCGAGTGTTCATTTCTAGAAACAGCAAAGCAGGATATTTGGAAATGATTTGAGGGTGAGGGCTTATAAAACCTCAACATCAATTCACTTTTGTATTAGAGTAACACGGCTGGACACCCACATTAAATCTGGATCTTTTTCTTTCTAGACTTGGTCGTGTCCCATCTGCCGTGGGATGTGTAACTGCAGTCTTTGTCGTAAGAAGGAGGGCCGCTGTGCTACCGGCATCCTGGTGGGATTGGCCCGCTACAACGGCCACGACAACGTCCATGAGTACTTGGAGAGGTACGCCACCTCATTACACTGTACAGAACATATGCACAGTAGCTGTAAAATCACTGATGGAAAATGTCTATCTATGATTTATTGAAATTACTGGTCATATAAACTGTCAGCTGATGGACTTTTTTTTCTCTTTTTGAAATTGATGGATATTTTTGTGTTTTGGACAGTAAGTTAGACAAAACAAGCAATTTTAAGACATTATTTAGAATTTTGAGAAATTGCATTCTGTCTTTTACACAATTTTTATGACATTTCACACTGAATTGCTATTGTTTTTGATTAGATGGGGAAATTACTGACCGATCAGGAATGACAATAATCATTAGTTGCAGTCCTACTGAGAACTGTACTGACAGCAGATGGAGCTCATGTCTTGTTTTGTCTCCATCACAGCATTCAAAAGGAACTGCAGTGAAGTCCAGAGAGAAGACCAGAGAGGAGAACCTGCTTTTACAGGCAGTACCTGGAGCAGTCTCTGGTGCTGCACATTACTGTAGAACTCCTTTTAATGCACATTTTTAGATTTAGCTCAACCTTTTTATCTAACTAGAGAAACAAAATCAAAAACATGTTTTTCACCTTAACACAAGGCACATACACTGTTAATATGTTTTATATATCCTGATTTAAGGCTGCATAAGATGCAGGGATGTTTTTATTGTTTAAAACAGTCGTCAGTTTTGTTTTGTATATTTTTCATTTGAATATTTCTACTCTTCGTGTTCACTAGAGAAAATGTAAGGGTCAATATTTTCTGTGTTACGGATGCAAAAGAAGCCTTTTATACCAACTACTTTTTTTAAGTGAGTAACTTTGCAACGTTCTTGTCAGTCCACTGTAAATTTGAATAAAGAATGGCAATATCCAAATGATTTGCCATGTTTTTTTTCAAACATAGTTATGCAGTCTTTTATCAGTTGGAGGTGTCTTTAAGGAGGAAAAGCAAACCTAACATTATATATTTTTTATTATTTTGGTGAGGTGCACACAACTTTTATGCTGCACCAAGTTAAGTCAAGTAAGTGTGTGTGTGTGTGTGTGTTTGCGTGTAGCTGCTGTGTACCTGATGTGATTTTCCCCAGGTGAGTGGGGTCAGATCCATGTCAAGTCTCTGTTCCTGAAGCAGCTGTACTCATGTAATGACCAGATACCATTGCTGCAGGGTAGGGGTCAACCTGAGGTTACTGGGTCTTCAAAAGCATTATCGGCTTGCAATGACAGTGACAAACAGGTTTACTACATCTTATATCTAATCACTGATTTCTTAATGATCTATCTGCAGTGTCATATACATTTTGCAGTGCATGTAAATGTGATAATAGTTTCAGCCCAGTGTTTAACACCTGTACTCTTACAGGTCTTCAGATTTTAACTGCCATTATTTTATTGGTCATAATCTACCACAATGTGTCATATAACAGCCAGTGATAACAATAATCAGTCAAAACATTAAAACACTGTCCTTATCATTCTTACACTCCTTTTTCCCCTTCACAACTCAACAAAAACACCCAAGGGTGCAGAGAGAAGTTGTGGATTTAGATGTTTTTGAAGTGCTTCAAAGGAGTGACATGTCAAAGGTATACATGAGCTGCATACTGTGGGATGCTTCTCGTACACTGTGACCTGGCGGTGAACTCACAAGTTCACTTTGATCATAGCCGAGTTTCATAGATCATGTTTTCAGAAGTCGACAGTTTATTGGCTCATTATTAGTGCACACAAACAAAAATAACTGAAGCAGCTGTGTGTAACAAGTCGTCCTGTAACTCAGTGGTCACAGGTTCGATCCTCACAGCAGAAATGGCAACTGGGAACTGTAATTGTTCCCTAAGGAAGCGTGGATAGATAAATCCGTCATTACTGCTGTCACAACAGAGATGACCCAGTAAGAAGGGGGAGGGAGGAGTTAGAGGAAGTGTGTGTGTGTGTGTTCAGGGAAAAGTGTGTGAATGTGTATTTCCTATTGGTTTCCATCTGATTGATGCACAAAAATCAGAGGGGGATTTAAGACCGTTTTAATCACTTTATTGTCAAGTGTTATGCAGGCAAAGCATCTTTTCTGCTTGAAGTTGTCCTTTTTTTCTTTTTTTATTGACATAACACGTTTGTACAAACCAGTTTTAAAAATATCAATAAACTGGGGCCTTTGAGGCTAACCTGGCAAAAAACCCATTATCAAATGTCATGGAGACGAACAAACATCTTTAGAAAAAGATTTACAAATGAGATGTCACTACAAAATATCAAAGAAAGAAAACTTGGTTGTCACACAAAATATTACCAAAAACATCTAAATTTGTTTGGTATCAACCGTTTTCAACTTTAAACAAATAGTAACTTTTTTGCTTTCTTCTTCTTCTTTTGTTATTTATTTTTCTCCAAAAACACATTATGGCGCAAAGAGAAGAAGAAATGAACAGCAATGGTCAGACGTAGAAAAAGAAAACCGAAGCACAAAGAGTAAAGAAGAAAGAAGCAGCACTACGGCAAAAAACTGAAACATGCTGTACACGACCTCAGAATCAACGCACACAAATACCAGCAAAAAGGCAAATAGTACAAATCAAGGATAAATAATAAATTAGCCGCACACACTGGGGTCCTGTGTGTTAACATATGGGGAGGGGACTCTTTTTAAAACAACTGATAAATTCTATAAAATAAAAGTATCTTTTAATTTAAAAAGAAGGTACGCACTGAACTAACACAGAGCAACATCACCAGAAAACATCTCATTAATATCCACACAGCTAAATAGCCCGACCCACTCCCACCCGCAACTCTCATCACTCTGTCTCTTTACCTCTGTGCTGTGGTCTGCTCTCCGTGTCACTCCCTAATAATGCAGGAGAGCGCCCCTCTTTCTCCACCCGCCTGAGTTCCCTCTGTACGACAGCTTGTGTTAAGGCAATTGTGGTACGTCGGTGACGTGGCGGGGTTGGAGGCGGAGAGGGGTTCGTCACCAGAGCACAGGAGGCAAAAAGCGGCATCAGTGACGGTGCCGTCGTCCGAATCTACCAGGTACCGTCTGATGGACATGGATCATATTAAGAACTCACACTGGATAGACTGCGCAGCTGTGATGTTAAACATACCCTGTGGTATCTGCAATGCAACCGACGACAGCACTGCTTTCAGACGTTTTTTTCCTAATCTTAGAGCGAACTGGCTTGTTTTATTAACAGAGAAAACTTCCCCTGACAATGTAAACATGGTTTCACTAGGATTGTCATTATAGTATTGCTTTCACTACACAAACAAAGTTGTAGAAAGCTAGATTGTTTTTCTCTATAGAAACCTTTTTTCTAATGGCCACTGCGCCTCAATAGGAATGCATTATTTATAAATCTTTTTATATGTGCTTTTTTTCTACTCTTTTTTTTTTATTTTATTTTATTAATTTTTTTTAGAATCACCCTCCTCTCTTCTTCAATAACAGTTTATCCGTTGACTGGTCTTGAAGGAATCAACACCTGAATCTGATCTGAGGACTGAACCTGAACCATGAATAAAACTCAAATTAGGTAGATCCTCTCCTTGACAGCATGGGAATCCGAACGCACACTCATTCGTACAGGTCACATATACACGCACACAACATCCCAAGACTGCCCCCTGCTTTATCACCGCTCTGCAACAGCTCTGTACCATGATTGACCCCCAGCACTGTCTGACAGGTATGAAACAGGAACACAACTTTGTGCATAGAGTTAGATTCTGTTGCGATTTAGGAAAGTGTCTCTCCACGTTGGATGGTTTTAGATTCAGCAGGTTCCCCTGTCTTGTGCTAATCTAAACACTACTTACATTCCTTTCCCCACCAGGCGTGGAATTATTATAGATTCATTTTATAAATGCCAAACTAATTTTTCATACGTGTAGACAACATTTTTGTTATTATCTGTTAGTTTTTTTTAGATTGTTTATATTTTTCGGTTTCTGTTCATTGCATGATCCCGTCTCTTTTAAGTCCCTTTTCATGAGAGAGCAACATTTTTAAAATGATGAAAAAGGAAAAGTTAATCAAAGGAAAATAAAAATTAGCCATCCATTTACAGTCCCTGCAAAGACTCCCAAAAAAACAGGAAGTCAGCCTTCCGCAAATAGACAGGAGTCAGTTGCCTATTCAAACTCCTCCTCTTCCTCCTCCTCTTCCTCCAGGTGATTAGAGGTGGTGGGTGTAGCAGGGTCCGAGTCACGCGAGAGGGTTGCCACAGCGACTATCTGAGGGGAGGCGCCCAGGCCTTCGGGGGCGTCTTCCTCCATGTCATCAGTGGTGATGATTGCCACCGCAGCGCCACCCTTCTTGTTCTGGTGGGTCTTGATGTGCTTGGAGAGGTGGTCGCTGCGCATGAAGCGCTTGGAGCATTCAGGACACTCAAAACGCTTTTCTCCTACATGGGAGAGGACAAAGAATTAGAGAAAAATAACTCAAGAAAGGACACCTGGCTTTCTACAGATACTAAATCTGTTTGGTTTAGTTGGCCTTGCTAATTATTACAACTAAATAGATGCGTAGCTTTTGGGCAAGATATTAAATTATCTGAAACTTAAAAAACTAAAACTAAAAATTAAGTACTGGATTTAAATTCGATAAAATGCTATCAAGCTCCAACCCTACCAATGTGACTAAGGTGACCCACATCACCAGTCTGCATCCCGCTACATGTTTCTTACCCGTGTGTGTTCTCCGGTGTCTCTGCAGCTCGTCGCTCCTGGTGAACCTCTTGCCACAGAAGATCCAGTTACAGACGAACGGCCTCTCGCCGGTGTGCCAGCGCAGATGGGCCCTCAGGTGGGATGTCTTGCCGTACACCTTCCCACAGCCCTCCATATGGCAGATGTGCTGCTTCTTTTTTGTGGGGTCCCCGCTGTTCCTACAACACACACTCTAGTTAGGAGTGAGCTGGAAGGTTTAAGTGGGTGTGTGTGTTTTTTTATGTACACGTTTTTAAAAGAGGGAAAAAAGGATTTAAAACTAACTAAAGGCTTTTTTTGGGTTTCAGACTTGTAAAAACAGACTCGCTGATTATTCTAGTAAAGCTGTAGTGTGTTTTGGGTGCCATTACAATGTGAAGTGCTGGGTGGTGAGAGGTCGGATCTCTCACTTTAGAATACAAGCTGCACTGTGTTCTGACCATCTGTCAAACCAATTGTCCCACCATGACATGACGGCCAAGGATCATTTTGGAATAATTATAAAAATGTAAATATGGGCATAAATAACTGTAGATTTCTGATGGACAAATTTAGTTCCCCTGGTTTTCTAATTGAAAGGGGCTCAGTGAGAACTGTAGGTGGAGTGAAAAAGTGAATCACAGTAAGAATTTGATGTCCAAAAGCCAGTTTCCTTGTGAGTATTTGTATTTTTGCAAGAAACCTGTTGCCTAGTGCAGCTTTAAAAAAGTAATGACAGATTGTTTTAGAAATACTGTACATTTAGTTTGATCTTCCCTTTAAAAAAAGAGATATTATAACATATATGACTACATTTTTTGTCCTTCCTACTGCATGTATGCATGATGCTCTGTGTTTCTAATCGTACCTTCCCTCTCCATCCCTGCAGTTCGGACAAGAGCAGGCGACGCGACGAAGCCTCTTGCTGGGCGGTCCCTCCTGGTCTGAAGAACTCTGTACGGAGCCCAGTTGGTCTGGACTCATTGATGAGCCTGATGCCACGTTGCCAACAGTGACCGTCACAGGAGACGACTGAACTTTGACCCCATCCTGACCCTGTGGTTGACCTGAAAGGTGATTGAAAATGTGTAAACCTATGAAGCGTTGTATTGTCTGTGGGGTAGTCTGAAGAACATATGACAATAGAGAAGGCTGACAAAGCAAGATCCAAAACAGTATTGAGT